CAGAAACTTCGACGATCTTCGCTGAATCGTCATAGAAAGTTCCTCAATAATCGTCGTCGCGCCCCGTGACATTGCCCTCTCCGTTGCCCACTCCAAATGGGGGTTTGCACATGTCGATCGAGCAAGAATCTGCATTAATTTCTTCATCGATCCGCCCTAATCTTCATCGATCGATCAAGACCTGATTGACTGGGTAAACTTGATCGCTAGAATAAACTTGATCTCTAGATTAAACTTGAGTTTACCCCTAGCGATTGGAAATCGGTTACTTGACTCGATTAGCGTCACTCCGATGAATTGAAAAGAAATTTCATCGACCAGCACGCCAGTCTCGAGTGAATATTTCATGTCATGCATAGTCCATGAATGTTGCAAAGATGTTTGTTCTGTGTCAGTATGGGAGCCCTACAGACGACACCTTCACATAAGATTATGCTCCTGTAAAAATTTAATCTCTTTGCAGCGGATCTCAGTTACGTCATAAATATAAAATAAATTGGACTGTCTGTAATTCTCTTTCAATTTGGCTGCACCAATCACATGGTAGAAAACTTTTAATATCCTCGTTCAAATCATGGTGAAGTAAGCTAAAGCTTTTCTACTGTTTATTCCATTTCTATCGATGGTTTCAAGAACAATGACATGAACAACTACTCAATCTTACTGCACAACGTCATCGAATTATGCATCCGTCTATCCATTATTTACGTCGCATCCAGCATACTGTGGCATTAATTTATTGCAAGCGAGGCTGTGACAGTAACATGGTCAATGCCCATATATGTCAATTTACAGACTGGATTTATTGTCTGTGAGCGACTGGTTTTTGTGAGGCGTCAATATTCAATAATTCTTATTCGATTGAAAGATAGAACAAATTCACACGACCCTATTTGAGATGACAAAATGAGTCTTTAGCTGAAACAATTCACTTATATAAGGTTATTGGTACACATCTAAATTTATTGAAACGTAAGAACGGTGCTTCATATACGGTGTAGAGACTCTTCTAAGGAATACGATAACGAGACAAGCTACATCATATAGGTTACAGATACACAAGTGAGGCGCACAATGATATAATAAGTTTCATACTATAGGTTATAGTAAACTTAAATGGATAATCCAAACCACTTCTTACTTCCATTGAGCTATCAGAATTCAAATTTATTTAAAGAGTCTGTGCCGATTTAAGCATGAGAGCAAGTTTGCAAAATGTTCGGAAATGCCGTTTGCATGCCAGCACATTGGAAATGACAGCGCTGAAATCGGTCGATTTGCGTCCAAAATAAAGTTCATCATAAGCAGAATAACCTCGGTTAGAGACCATAAAGTTCGACGTTAACTGAAACGTTCGTTAACCGTCATAATTGCCTCATTGGAAACAATGGAAATAAAAATAATTGGTTCCAGCGCTACGTGATTCGTTAAATTATGAAAGATACAGGCTATATAGGAATCTTTTTTTAAACGAGAACAGTTATAAATAGAGCTAAATAAATATGAAAACAGCAAAGAAAGTATTTAAATTCGTGAAAACATTTCGTAAACATAAGGAAACTTATCTAACTATGATGTGATGTCGTTAGTGGATGGAGTGGTTGGGAGGAGGGGAGGGAAAAGAGGAATTATTGCTGGGAAGAGGATTCTCCCTCCAAGAGAACATCGGGAATGGTAATCTCAGGTGTCGATACTCTTCTCGAGGTCAAAGGAAGAAACTTATCCAGTGTCTGTAGCAGCTGCCTTTATCTTAGGTAACACTTTTCGATGATATGAAATCACATTGTCATTATAGAAGTTTAGGCTCCTGTAGCCTACCGCACAATTAACCTTCTTTGGAGACATAAATGAGTTCTAAAAGCATTCAAATAAAACACAAAAATCTCTAAATAAGATAGATGTAAATAGATAAAGATGACGGGCGTCCGATCGAAGCTAAATCTTCCGCGGCAATAAGCATCATGTCGTCTAGGAAGCTTTGTCCCGTGCCTGGTAGCAAATGATGCAATAGTTGTTCGTTAGCAGAAGTAAATTCTCATCGAAATCCTTGGTATTTAACAGAATTTTTCATTCAATGAAGCGCTCTCTAACCGAGGTTTGGCTGTATATTATATTTTATATTGTATATATCGTTTAGGTTTAGCTTCCGTTGGCCTTAAACAAGCCATACCTGCTTCATACCTGCTCCGCGAATGCGCATGCGTTTGGCGACGGTGAGTCATAGGCCATAATCCAAATTTTAAGCGAGAAGGTCACCTTAGCCTAGCAAGTCTATATAGTCAACATTGCTGCGCGTGAACAGTGGATTTAACTGTAAATATGTCTCTTTATGAAGCACTCGGCATTTGCAAAGGCTTGGCCACTTTCTACCTGTAGCTAGCGACTCGACTGTGGCTGTCGTGCGCCCGAACCTAGAGTTTGGAAACGTATGATCACCGAAATTTGAAAAGGACAGAAATTTAGTAGAGAGTGTTCAAAGACGCGCAACACGAATAGTTCCGGGCTTGAAAGGCAAGTCCTATGAGGAAAGATTAAAGATTATGAAGCTTCCAAGCCTCAGTTAGCGACGTCTGCGTGGGGACCTCATTGAAGTATACAAGTATACTCATGGCTTATACAAGGTCCCAGAAGGATTATTAGAATTTGAAACAAGAACCAACACCAGGTTTGAAAAGGACAGAAATTTAGTAGAGAGTGTTCAAAGACGCGCAACAAGAATAGTTCCGGGCTTGAAAGGCAAGTCCTATGAGGAAAGAGAAAAGATTATGAAGCTTCCAAGCCTCAGTTATCGACGTTTCGTGGGGACCTCATTGAAGTATACAAGTATACTCATGACTTATACAAGGTCCCAGAAGGATTACTAGAATTTGAAACAAGAACCAACACCAGGGGCCACGGCTATAAACTAAATAAACAGCGTTGGAACACATCCATGCGACAACATTTCTTCTCGCTTCGAGTCATCGACATGTGGAACAGCATCCCTGATAGCAGCGTTGACGCTCCGAGTATGAACATCTTCAAAAACAGACTATAGACGAAGCTATGCAGGAGCATATGTTCAGTCTTAAAATGCCTAGCAAATTATGGCCCAGGCAATAAGTCCAGACGAAGCTATGCAGGAGCATATGTTCAGTCTTAAAATTCCTAGCAAATTGCGGAACAGGCAATAAGTCCAGCAGCTATCTCAATCAATCGTCAGCTATGGAAAGATCGGGTTCCAAAGGCCAGATCCCTTGTGAATCAAGTCACGAAAAGTTCAAGAATCGGCAACAGGCCATGGGCCTATTTCTTCAATGCCGACACTTCTATTCTATGTATTCTATTCTATTCTATGAGTCATCTGCCACTCGCTTTCCCCGAAGCGGTCACTCGAAAACCCTTTCTTACACTCTACGACCATAACGATAGAATACGCACCTTAGAAGCTGCACCTATTTTCTGCCATCAGCTTCTTCTCCTTCTCCTCCTATGGACATTATGTGCTGAAGACAATATTTTAACGGCCTTCCGTTCATCAGTGCAGACCCTGCTCCTGTTTACATAGACGAATAGTTCGTCTAAAACAACTTCGAGTTGTGATGGTTTGTATTTCAGACAAGTTTAGTGAGTTAAGCTTTGGTCCAAATGAAGCTTCTGAACTATAATGAAAATTGTTAATTGTTTTCGCACTTTTAATGGAATATAGTTAAATTCAAGCATAGTATTTTATATCGGAGCTTAAGGGTGAACTGAACACGGCCCATCACAAAAGAAGATTTTTCTGGCCATTGCTCAATATGCTTTTTCTCTGAGTAGACTGCTAAGCAGGCAGCTTGATGGCAGGGAGAAGGCTCACTTCCTAAATGTATGTGTTATCTTCTTGAATATATGCATGATGCTATTAAAGAACACAGATTTGTTAATGTTTTGCTAAAGAGCGCAGAAAGAATATTGCCCCTTCACGCAAACGGTGTTATGAGAGACGCAGATACGGCATCCTCAAAACCCGGAGAGTGCAATAAATAAATATGTTTATCATAATCCTTATGTTAGATCTCCAAGGAGTAACGCTATATTAAATAACGAATATATTAGGTTCTGTAAGGCTATGCAATTTTTTAAGCACATATAATTTAATGACAATTTTTCATTGTCCACAAGAGCCTGTGAACATGATGCTGTCAATTCGAATATCAGAAACTGTTAAAATCTGATAGTTTTATAATGTATTTACTCTGTAGATAGCCAGACGTCGACTGTACAGGATCTCGACATAATCGGAATTCGACACCGGCTTTTAGTAACTCCGCTCTATTTCACTCATTGCTTTATAGGTAACATAAGTTTGCTGCGTTATTCAGCAGGTGCAAGAACGTTTTTAAATGCTGCTCTTTTTCGCGTTCTGATTTAACGTGATTATATAGCAAGTCGGTAGTTTCGACGGGAGACGCTCCCCAGTAGGCATTCGGTGGTTGAATCAACGTTGAATCAACTACGCATTACGACATTGATATCGGGGTGAAAGGACGTTTAGAATGAAAATTGAAGCAACATCTTTCATGGAACGTCGTACTGACGTTACAATTCAACGTTGAATCAATTTTGCTACTACGACGTTGCTGCAACGTTGAATTTTATGGTTGAATCGACGTTGAATCAACTACACATTACGACATTGATATCGGGGTGAAAGGAGGTTAGAATGAAAATTGAAGCAACATCTTTCGTGCAACGTCGTCCTGTCTCGGGGAACCAGCTGACATAAGGTCCGGAGTTGGGGTTGGCCGCAGTTCCTAGCAGTGGAGCCGTTGTCTTGTAGATTACCCTGGGTGGTCCGCTAGCTGGAACACAACGCCTAGACTGACGTACAGTGCAAACAACGGGATCCATGACACCTAGACTGACGTGACATCTAGGACCACGGGATCCATGTCACGTCAAACGGGATCCATGACATCTAGACTAACGTACAGTAACGTACATCTAGACTAACGTAAACAACGGGATCCATGACATCTAGACTAACGTACAGTGCAAACAACCAACTCCATGACACCTAGACTGACGCACAGTGCAAACAAATGACTCCACGACACATAGACTGGCGTACAGTGCAAACAACCTACTCCATGATACCTAGAATGACGTACAGTGCAAATACTGTAAGTGCCCCCAGGACGCTTAGATTGACGTGCTATGTTAACAAACACCTCCAGGTCACCAAAGCAGACGTACAGTGCAAACAATCATTTCCAGAGCACTTAGACTGACCTACAGTGCAAACAAGAGCCAACAGGGCACATATGGACTGACGTACAGAGCAAATAACTGCCTCCAGGACACCTTGAAAGACGCACAGTTCAAACAAACTGAGCACTTGGACTGCTGCCCAGTGCAAAAACTGCCTCCAGTATACATAGACTGACGCACAGTGCAAACAACCGACTCCATGACACCTAAACTGACGTTCAGTGCAAACAACTGCCTCCCGGACGCTCAGAATGACGAACAGAGCAAACGACTGCCTTCAAGACACCTAGACAGACCGTACAGTGCAAGCAAACACCTCCAGAGCACTTATATCGCATCACAGTGCAAACAGACGCCACCAGAGTTCTTAGACTTCTGCACTGTTCAAACAAATGCATCCCGAGCACCTAATTAAACTGCAGCACAGTGTAAACGACTGCATCTAGAGCACTTAATAGACTGCTGCACAGTGCAAACAACCGCCTCCAGAGCACTTAGACTGCAGCACAGTAAAACAAAATACATGATTTTAAAAGGACGGACTTCCATCCTTCCAATCATTATTGCTTCTGGTTTAGTACAAATTAGAGTGGTAATTTTATTGCCAGAAATTTGTTGAAATAATCGTGAAATACAAGACAACAAATTTTCAACAGAAGTCAACTGTCATATTAAGCTCATCAAAACAGGAAAATCATCGGGATTATCTGCATAGTGCAGTTAGAATGGAACTCCGAATGATTTCATTCAGGGACTTTCCAAAAATCAAAATTTCCCCCTTATAATAATATACAGTGCAGAATTTGTAGCAGATCTCGACTGAAACATTTCTACTTGATTTAAATAGTCTGTTATTTTCCTATTGATGAAGCAGAAGCAATGATGACCCATGGATTGTAAACGATTAGCTAGAATTTTTCTAGAAGTTGGATACAATAATTTTTCTAGTGGTTCCAATCTTTTTTTACAAGATGATTTGTGAATTAAATTGTTTTTATTATTTGTAAATTGCTGATTTGGAGATCAGTACAAAACTTTGCCATGAATTTTAAATTCAGAGGAGACATGAAATCAGTTATCATCAATAAATAGGCGAGTAGATGAACAATCGTAATAAAAGCGTTGATGTGCAGAATCTCACCAGGGAAGACAGCGTTTATGTGCAGAAGCTCACCAGAGAAGACAGCGTTTATGTGCAGAGGCTCACCAGAGAAGACAGCGTTTTTGTGCAGAAGCTCACCATAGAAGACAGCGTTTATGTGCAGAAGCTCACCAGAGAAGACAGCGTTTATGTGCAGAAGCTCACCAGAGAAGACAGCGTTTATGTGCAGAAGTACACCAGAGAAAACAGCGTTTATGTGCAGAAGCTCGCCAGAGAAGACAGCGTTTATGTGCAGAAGCTCGCCAGAGAAGACAGCGTTTATGTGCAGAAGCTCACCAGAGAAGATAGCGTTTATGTGCAGAAGCTCACCAGAGAAGATAGCCACGATCGCCAAGCAGTTGTTGTCGGAGCAGCGGCTGAAGGCCTCTGAGATGGGAATGTACTCAGAGGCCAGGTCGTACCATTGCAAGTCCAAGTTGTAGTAGATGACAAACTTGCAGCCTGGTACAAGACAATATAAGCAGCTTGTGTGAACTTCTGCCTTAACTCAGCTCGAAAATGTATATAGTCGTCGACTCAAAAAATTGCAGAGACATAAGCAAAAAGTTTGCCATAGTATGTTCGCCAGGTTTTCTTTCATGTTGGGATGAATGATATAGTAATTTATGAAAGTTAATCGTTAAAAGCTGAAGGACAAGAAAATCTCTGGGTCAAAAAATCGAAAAATTTGGCTCACCCGGTTTTTTGTGCTCATTTTATTCGTAGCTGCGAAAAAGGCGCGTCTAGCGCAGCAAACCGAATGCATATTTGTACTACAGTATTTGCGTTAGGCAGTTCTAAATTATATGAAATGAAATTTTTTTATTAAAATGTACATAGATTTCTGAAAAATTGAATTTATATATCATTATTCGCATTAATTGTGATATCTTTGGACGGTTCAATAAAGCAAATAACATAGATTTGCATGCCATTTTTTTTAGTATGCCGTTTGACTTTTATAAACCGATCATTTTATATAAATATGTTAGAAAAATAACATTTATAGCTTACTATTCGCGTAAAACTGGACTAGAATGGTGGTATCCTAAATACGCGTGGTGGTATTCTCAATAAGAATAATTGGCAATGGAAAAGCCTTGGCAACAGCATCAAGCAATTTTTATAACATTTTCTTCGTTTTTAAAAATAAATTATATTTATTTGGCTGCCCTAAACGATTAAAATTTCCAAAATACGCCATCTCAGAAACCTATCTCTTCCAATGATTTTCAAGCTACAGCATTGAGTAACATATCATTCGATTCGTAAGGTCCATATCTAGTGACAGTAGAAGTTTTTCCCGATTTGTACATGGTCTGGATTATATATTAAAAAAATTAGGGGGAAGAGTATATATAATGGGGGAAAAGTCATATAAAAAATAAAATGAAAAATCGATGAAAGAGCTTCTAGAGTTGATAAATATTCTCTTTACGGATCGAATGATATGTCTCGATGTTGTAGCACGTAAATTAAAGGTGGAGATTTACAAAGAGCCCTTCTTTTTGAGTTTTTTTCATTTCATTTCACGTTTTTAATTTTTCCGAAAAATTCACATGCGCAAAATTTTCTTCTTTCGTTCCCTCACAAATGTGTACGAAGTTTCTCAAAAGTCCTTCAGTAAATGAAAAAAAAAAAAATTTTACCCAGACGCTCCCTCCATTTCATTATTGAAGCAGCTCTGAAAAAGGTAATATCAAAACTGCGAATTTTACAGAGGAGATAGTAAAATTTAAGCTGCTCCTCATGTGCAGCAAAGTTTTGTTCATGGGTCAGTGGGTGTTATTTAATTTGAATGGCGCTATATACGTACTGTACGTTTAATCTAAAATAAAAACCAACACAGAGTCTGCTGAAGGGAGGTGATGGATGAAATATTTTTGCTCTGAAATATTTTTGAAAAATATATATTTATTTATAACTGAAATACATTTATGTTAACACTGAAATATTTTTGCTTTGATATTTTTATCGAGTTATTTCCAACCAAGCAAGCTTTCCGTAAATCCGAGCGAATTGCTTAACTAACTTTTGCCTTGGTTGCGCTGGTTGATGAATGCCGTGGCGTTGGAGCAGACGTAGCCTGACATCGAGTAGTTGAGCGCGGCCTGGGGCTGGTACGGCAACATGGCGGGAAGAGAGTACCGCAAACAAACCTTGTTGGCGGGGCACGGGCTACTGGCACAAGGATCCTGTTGCATATGGGTATTTTTAGTACATGTTAAATGTTCATGTAATATAGTATAAGCATTTTATATATAATATACGTATAAAACACAAAAAATACTTGGCACTTCATGTCAGCGAGTTTTGACACCACGCAGAGATAAAGATCAGTACGAACGACGCATAATGCTTTGCCGGAAAACACTGGTGAATAATTATGACAAGCCGATTATACAGTAACATCACAGTTACATTTGTAGTTCATATGTAAATGCAGAGGTTGGCAGTATAGCGCGCTACATGTAGCGGCCGCTACTAGCGGCCGCTTCATTTTCAGTAGGGGTAGCGGTAGCGGCGCTACATTTCAGCAATTGTAGCGGTAGCGGTAGTGCCCGCTACATATTTAAGTAGCGATACGAGGTTTTGCCGCTACAGCGCTACCGCTACATTTATAGATAAAGCCTTTAGATTTTACTTTTACAGAATAAAACTGTACGAAAGATTTCGGTGTAATATTGTCAACCTCAGCCTGTTACTAGTGTCAACATGTTAGTTGTTAGCAGAGATGGCAGTAGCGCGCTACATGTAGCGGCCGCTACATTTTCAGTAGCTGTAGCGGCGCTACGTTTAAGCAATTGTAGCGGTAGCGGTAGCGCCCGCTACATTTAGAGCATGTAGCGGTAGCGGTAGCGGTAGCGGCCGCTACATTTCAAAGTAGCGCTGCCCAGCACTGTGGAAATGTGAAGACCAGTGACGTCAACTTATACTTTAAATGCCGTACATTAAAAAGTACACTAACTGATCTAAATGCGCGCAGCGTCCAAAGTACTGTGATTAGCTTATGGAGTTACGAACTCTTGACTGTTTTTGATTTAACGAAACCTGTTAATTACCACCAGCGTCTTATTTACATTTTATAACAGTATTGCTGCTACCATAATACTGGAAAAATTCGGGTACCACCCAGACTTCTGCACAAGAGTCTCTACACTGGACTTGAAGTTATCCCGGGTAAACTTGGCCACCCGATCGAAATCAGTTTCTGGTTATTCAGAATCACCTTTTAAGCTTTATAGTCGCCTGAGAGTATGACAAGTGTGTCCCGAGAGTATGACAAGTGTGTCCCGAGAGTGTGACAAGTGTATACCGAGAGAATGAAAAGTGCCTTCTGAGAGAATGACAAGTGCATACTGGGAGTATGACAAGCGTGTCCTAAGATTATGAGAATAATTGGCCGAGTCGAGTCACACCGATCGCTCGCGAGCCGCCCAGAGGCTGCCCTCAAAACCCTGTGTCGAAGCAGCTGACTTAGAGTGGCTGATTCACGCGCTCCCCGAGTCCTAGGCGGCACCTATTGCGGAGTTGGGTCCGCATCTAAACTGCGTTTGGGTATTTGCTTACCAGAAGAGTTGAGTTAAATGGTTGAGTGACAGCGTAGGAGACCCAACCAGACGCCGCCACGATGGTTGCGATGTTGCCCATCAGCTGGCACGCACCGCCTGTAACCAAACCAAGCTCATCAATCAGCACGCACTACCTGACCAAGCCAAACTCATCAGCTGGTACGCACCACCTGCAACTAAGCCAAGCTCATCACCTGGCACGCACCACCGGCAATTAAGCGAAGCACATCAGTTGGCACGCACCATCTGCAACCAAGCCAAGTAGAGTCTACATAAATTAACAACTCTTGTCACCTCTGTTGCTGCATCCAGTATGGGTAAGAACAAGTTGCAGCCAATCTTGAAAAATTCAAGATCTCACACTCTACTTAAGTTCAAATGTTTTTCAAGCCCGAGAGTGAAGAAAGGAATTTCTTTATATATAAACCTGCGTAGCTAAAGCCGACGCAGAGCGTGACGTCACCGCAGAGACGCAGGCAGCTCAGCGGGTCACGGGTCGTCGTGTTCAGGAGAGGCGCTCCTGAAAAACGCTGACCAATTCCTCCTGCGGTGGTCGTGATATTATAATGATGAGGGCATAAATGAGGACAACATGATAAGGGTAACGTGATGAGGGCATGAATGAGGGTAACATGATGAGGGTAACATGATGAGGGTAACATGATGAGGGTACTGTGACGAGGGTAACATGATGTGGGCAATATGATGGCAATATGATGGCAACATAATTAGGGTAGCATAATGATGGCAACATAATGATGGCAACATCACGATGGTAACATGATGAGGGCAACATATAATGAGCATAGAATAATGAAGGCAACATAATGAATGTAAGATAATGTTAACGTGTAACTCAAATATTCGTGAAGCAAGCGGCCGTCGGGCAAGCGAGCGAAGCAAGCAGTCATGATACGATGGATATATTGACGCTTTCATTGCCTTTAAATTCTTGATGAATATAAACTCTGCAATCCGTGCCCGTATCCAATATTCTTAAGTAGAAATTATTCGTAAGTAATATTATAGTGGAAAATATAAGCGAAGTTTGTGTCGTTTTCGTCGTGAAACTTTGAACTTAATTTAAATTCCTTACTGCCGATGACGCATAACATTTAAAATTAAAGTTCGATGGGCATATCGAGTTATTTCTTTCCTTTACATTACATATCAGGCGATTTCGATTATAAAATTAGCAGATGAAATAAAGAGACGAAATTATTTCGTCATCGTCAGTAATTTACAATTGCTTTGATTTAATCAATAAAGCAATATTATAATCTTTAATAATTTCAACCTAAATATACTAATGGTAATCGGAAATGAATAATCCAAGAGCCCGTTTATATTGCCTGATTAATGCTACACCAAACTCCAAAAAATGAAAGCGGATCATATTACCCAAATATAACACACATTTTTAACAAGAGTGGGTGTTACACTGACACGCCCCTTTTTCCTGGCCAAAGTGGGTCAGGATGACCCACAAAATGGTAATAAGTGAATTGATAATTTAGCAGAGAACTCACCTATAGACCGCGACATCAGGGCCGCGTGGGCGCCGCGTGCCGGCGCTGGGGCGAGTGTCAGGCAGAGCGCCGCCAGCAGCCATGCTGGAGTGGTCATAGCGTAGCACCAGAGTCGTCGTGACGCTGAAAAGTAAAATTATTGGTTTTCTTATTTTAACGAATTTAAGTGTCTAACGAATGTCTTTATTTTAATGAGATTAAACTATTACTAAATTCTAATGATTCTGAACCATAACCTTTTATGTAATGACCTCATCCATCACTTCTATTGTAATGACCTCATCCATCACCTTTATTGCAATGACCTCATCCATCACCTCTATTGTAACGATCTCATTCATCACCTCGTACGTAATGACCTCATCCATCACCTTTATTGCAATGACCTCATCCATCACCTCTATTGCAATGACCTCGTCCATCACCTCTATTGCAATGACCTCATTTATCACTTCATCTATACTCTATTGCAATGACCATACATTATTGCAAGACATCTCAATTCACTGCTTGAATGTAAGGCTAACAACCGTTGAAAAAATGCACTGTATTTAAATTTTTTAAGAATTCACGTGAATTTTGAAATTTATTTAATCAATTTAATTAATTTATTAGATCATTATTTGCCGGGAAAAAAATTCAGAAATTATTTTCGTGTTTAAAGGTCTCCTTTCCACAAAGTTTGACCAGAATAACAAATTAAAATGTACAGTAACATATAACTTGCATTAGTTTTCCGATATATATGAATGAAATGCACATGAATATCCTAGAAGAAAAGTAAGGGGAAAATTCAAAATGAAATCTGAGGAAGTTAGCCACATCCCCTCATATTCCTCAATCCCCACATCCCCTCATATTCTAGGGAATGTAGACAAGTATCGGCTTTATTCTAGGGAATGTATAAGTAATATAGAGAACGAGTATATCATCACAATCTGCACAAACAGCTTAAATCTCAGTTTCGAACATTTACCCACAATCTTATGTCGAATCTTGACGATTAAAATTTGGTTGACCATTTTCCCCAATCGAAACTTTACCGAGCGCTCACAATATTTTTTAATCACCGTCAATAAAGTTTTGGAAAATATTCGTAACAAAAACATCGAGCGAGTTTCACGATGGAAAATACTTCCTTGGAATATATAATTGATTCAAATTTTTTAAGTACTTTTCAGAACCTGGCCGCTCATCTTTCTTAATCAATACAAAGGTTTAAGGTATTTTATCCGTATCATAACACAGTTCTTGAAAGTCTACAAAAGGCAAATCGCGAGCAATGTATTCACTGTGAATATTCTTCATATAATTGCGAATGACTATGATGCTTTTTTAAATCGAGCTAGTTGTTTTACCCATGAATCCTTTTCTTTGGTGTGTTTTAATATTAGGAGTATTCGCAAAAATTTTTAAGTATCGGCTTTATTCTAGGGAATGTAGACAAGTATCGGCTTTATTCTGGGGAATGTAGACAAGTATCGGCTTTTTTCTAGGGAATTTATATAAGTATCGGCTTTATTCTAGGGAATGTAGACAAGTATCGGCTTAATTCTGGGAATGTATAAGTAATATAGAGAACGAGTATATCATCACAATCTGCACAAACAGCTTGAATCTCAGTTTCGAACATTTACCCACAATCTTACGTCGAATCTTGACGATTAAAATTTGGTTGACCATTTTCCCCAATCGAAACTTTACCGAGCGCTCACAATATTTTTTAATCACCGTCAATAAAGTTTTGGAAGATATTCGTAACAAAAACCTCGAGCGAGTTTCACGATGGAAAATACTTCCTTGGAATATATAATTGATTTAAATTTTTTAAGTACTTTTCAGAACCTGGCCGCTCATCTTTGTTAATCAACACAAAGGTTTAAGGTACTTTATACGTATCATAACACAGTTCTTGAAACTCTACACAAGGCATATCGCGAGCAATGTATTCACTGTGAATATTCTTCATATAATTGCGAATTGGTATTACCCTA